AGCCTTCTGGCACGCAAGGCGAGAAGCAAAGAACAGAGACACTGTCTCCTTGAGAATCAGCACAATCAGCTTCAACAGTGTGACTGATGCCCTTGACACCGAAGCCAGCGCTGCAGATGATGGCCAGGCACCCAATGCCCCCTTCCATCCTCCTCAAGCCAGTCCAAGGGCAGCTCGAGAAGGGAAAAGAAGCGCAAGATTGAAGCCAAATGCCCACGAGTGCGCAAGTCCTCAGCAACCAAAGACGCCGAAAGGGAGGGAACCTGCACATGCAAATGCACAAGCCCGACATCTCGAGGAAGCACAGTGGGGCAAACAAGCACGCATTAAGGCACTCAAATTTGTCCCCCCTTCCCCTCAGGTACCTGCTTGATGGGGTTCTGGGAGTTCTTCTACTCCCCAAGCCCGGCCCGAGGCCAGGCTCGACTTGTGAGAGTTTGGTCCACCAGGCTGTTGCTTGGAGCGGCCCGCAGGCCCACATACCCACCACAGCCCGGCTGATCCGGAACTTCTCTTAGAAAACAGTCCAGTTTTCTCTTGAATATGTCCACGGTTGTTCTGGCAATATTTCTTATAGTTGCTGGGAGGACGTTGAACAACCGCGGACCTCTGATGTTTATACAGTGTTCTCTGATTGTGCCTATGGCACTCCTGCTCTTCACTGGTTCAATCTTGCATTTTCTTCCATATCGTTCACTCCAGTATGTTGTTATTTTACTGTGTAGATTTGGGACCCGGCCCTCCAGTACTTTCCATGTGTATATTATTTGGTATCTCTCTCGTCTCCTTTCTAGAGAGTACAATTGGAGAGCTTTGAGACGATCCCAATAATTTAGGTGCTTTATCGCGTCTATGCGTGCCGTATATGTTCTCTGCATTCCCTCTTATTTCTGCAATCTCTCCTGCTCAGAAGGGGGAAGTGAATACTGAGCAGTACTCGAGATGGGACAACACAAGTGACTTGAAGAGTACAACCATTGTGATGGGATCCCTGGATTTGAAAGTTCTCGTAATCCATCCGATCATTTTTCTGGTTGACGCAGTATTTGCTTGGTTATGCACCTTAAACGTTAGATCGTCGGACATCATTATTCCCAAATCTGTTTTTCTACTATGGGAAGTAGTAGCAAAGTAGTAGAAAAACAGACATGCTGTTTTTCTACTATGGGAAGATTCGATTGTGTTTTGTACCCTGTATTATGTTTCAGATCCTCATTTTTGCCGTACCTGAGTACTGTACCTAAAATTTATCACTGTTAAACATCATGTTATTTTCTGTTGCCCAATCGAAAACTTTGTTGACATCTGCTTGTAGTTTTTGAATGTCTTCAGCAGAGGTAATTTTCATGCTGATTTTTGTGTCATTTGCAAAGGACGACACGAAGGTGTGACGTGTATTTCTGTTTATATCTGATATGAGAATAAGGAACAGTAGTGGTGCAAGGACTGTCCCTTGAGGTACAGAGCTTTTAACATCGCTTGGACTCAATTTTATTTGATTGACTGTTACTCTTTGTGTTCTGTTCGACAGGAAATTGAGTATCCAGCGTCCTACTTTTCCAGTTATTCCCATTGACCTCAATTTGTGAACTATCACCCCATGGTCACATTTGTTGAACGCCTTTGCAAAGTCTGTGTATACAACATCTGCATTTTTCTTGTAAGGCTTCTGTGATTTTGTCATAGTGGTTGAGTAACTGTGACAGACAGGATCTTCCCACTAAATGCATGTTGTCCTGGGTTGTGCAATTCATTGTTTTCCATAAAACTAGAAATTTGATTCCTAATCACTCTTTCAAACACTTTTATTATGTGTGATGTTAGTGCAACTGGCCTATAATTTTTTGACAAGGCTTTACTCCCCCCCTTGTGCAACGGAGCTATATCTGAAGATTTAAGTGCTGCTGGTATCTCCCCTGTATCCAGGCTCTTTCTCCATATTACACTGAGTGCTCTTGCTACTGGTACTTTACATTTCTTTATGAATATTGAATTCCATGAGTCAGGCCCAGGAGCTGAGTGCATAGGCATATTGTCAATTTCTCTTTCAAAGTCTTCCGAGTTTGTGGTAATATCCGTTATATTATCTGCAGCTTGAATGTCATTCATAAAGAAGCTGTCTGGGTTATCAACTTTCATGATGTTTATTGGTATGCTAAACATAGCCTCATACTGGCTTCTTAGAATTTCACTAATCTCTTTGTTGTCCTCTGTGTACGTACCTTCATTTGTAATTAACGGTCCAATACTGGTCAAGGTTTTTGATTTTGATTTTGCGTATGTGAAAAATATTTCAGATTTTTTTTTATCTCTTGTATAGCTTTCTGTTCCAATTCCATTCCAATTCCAAGGTAAACCTGTAGAACAGTAGAAGTTTCCCACCATGCAAGCGTGCGGGGTCTGATAGTTATGCCACGCCCCCAACGAAAATAATGGGCAGTCTGCCAGCCAGGAAGACTCTGGAGCCTTCAAATGCACCCAATACGGGTGCATTTGAAACCCCCAGGTCAACTCCTCCCCAGCACCAGAATCCCCAAAACCAGGACCAGGGACAGAGCAGTCCTCCATACCCTTTACCCCTGAAGAAAAGGCAGAGTCCAAGGGAAAGGCAGAAAAGAAGGGGGGCCTGCTGGTGGGACCCAGAAGCCTCAGCAAGAGAAACTGGCTCGAATGCCTCTGTTCTCAACCCGAGTTTCATTACTAACTAAACCCCAACTAAACCCCACTCCGACTCTGAAACCCTCAGATGATTGAGAGCCGGAACAGGGGTGGGCAGAACGAACAACAGGGGAACGACCAGAGAGCATGGACGGAACCAAAGTCGAAGTGACTGAGACCCCCAAAATCCGGGTCCCTATAACCAAAATGGGACAGTCTTGGGGCATCCGGGTGGGGAACCAACCTAAACCTAGCATACAATGCGGATGCTGCCTGTACCCGAATATAAATCATGAGAATGGGTAAATTGGAGAACAAGCAAAGAGTACGTCTTGCAAGACTCTGGGTCAAAGGTGTCGGTGACTCAACAGGCAGCATGATGGAGGCAAAAACTGTGACTGTCACCCAGGAATAAGGGCACACAGCAACCTTCAAACTCGCACGAGGCAAGCTGGAACTTGGAAGATACATCCATAGGTCCACCAAGCCCCGACAGGGTTTTCCAGGGCCTGAAGCCTGACTGCTATGGGAAGCCCGGCCAAGGTGTTGCTAACCGGTTAGACCCAAAGCTAACAAGGGAAAGATAAAAACACTGAAACCCCTGCGACGTTTACAATCATGGGACCTAGCGAAGGGCCACCAAAATATTTTAAGTGGATCTACAACCATGCCAGGCAGATCCCCCACCAGGCCAACAAAAAAAAAGTAAAAGAAAAACCCTGCAAAAGTACAACGTCCCCAGAGGAAACAGGAACCAGCCACTGTATAGGTAAGCTGGGTTTACAACACCTTGATGCCCCAACCAGCAACAATACCACTCCCCACCCAAGGCCAAACAAGGGTCATGAAACCCCAGCTGGCCCCAAGGGCAGGGGTAAGGGCCAAGCAGCAAAAACCCCTACGGAAATGTCATCACGATAACACCAAGGAAGAAAACCCTGACACCTAAGGGTACCATCCTTAGGTGGTACTCACAGGGCATGTATGGAAGGCTGCCCTAAATGCATGCAGCCTCGATACACTTAAGTACACCTGGCCACCACACCATGAACAGCAGAGGACACTGCTAAGGCAAAAACTGCCTGGAAACCGAAGCCAGAGTTAACGACCACCCCCGATCTCATTAGCCAATGAACTAGAGTTGCTGGGTAGCCGGCGCGCGGGGTCCAGTGCTCCTCCTCCTACTCCTGAGGAGGGAAGGGGAGGGCTGCGCAGACGAGCGGCATGGTGGCGAGGTGTGACTTTTGCTTGTTTACTAGTTTCCTTAGGATTTGAGAGAGTTCTGCCTCTATTCAGTTTTTGGTTGTAATGTTCTTACCATGTGGGGGTCTGTTTTGTTATGCCTACTCTTCTGCGTGCCTAACTCCGGTCGACAGCAGATAAGGAAAACCCCCCAACCAGAGGAGAGTTTTCTAGGGGTCATTGCTCCCTGTGCCTCTATGAGGGGGGCCAGGATCTGGCTCGTGGTCCCTGGTAGGCTGAACTCCATTGACTAATGCTCTGATCTAATGTATCGCACATTAGTCAATAGCTCCAGGGAGCAGGAGGGGCTCCCCAAATAAAAGTAATAAAATAAGGAAATCTTCCATAATGGGGATATAAAGCTTGCTTACCTACACTGAATTATTTCTAAATTTACAAGGGCTTGGTATTATTACTGGTTTTGAAAAATCTTGATTTTATTATGGCTTCCTTGTCCTCACAATGCCCTCTATATATATATATGTCTATAAAGCATCAAATATAATGAACTGCCCTTGTTCCCTTTAATCCACGGAATTCTGGGGACAATGTTTGGTTCATGAATGAGGAGATATTGGCATGAGATCCAGGATGACCAGAGCTGCCATCTGGTGGCACCAGGTGAGCAGGAGCAAGCTTTATTTACCCAATATCAGCTATTGTTTGCTGTGCTTTCCTAAATGTCTAAAGAGAATTGGTTTGTTTTACCCACCTGTGGCTTTTGTGCAGCTTCCTTAGTTTGGGTTTATCTTTGATTCTAATGATCTCATCTCTGTGAAAGAAGCAGATTTTGGTCATGCCTTGGTAGGTTTTTCAAGTCTTAGGGATCTGGTATGACAGAGGCCTTATAGTACGAACGCCTTAAGCTCAAGAAAAACTAATGATACCTGCCAACATTACACACCATCAAGGTGGCACACAACCATCAACACCCACCACAATATGCTCATTTTCTGGTATTTTTGTTTCCCTCAGTGCCATGTTGGTTCCTAAGGAGAGATGCTAGACTTTACTGGAGAGAGGGTGGGACTGACTGTACGGGACATCTGCTACACCTATTGCTCCTTCCAAGATACATCTAAGGCTGTATTTATGGCTTAGGGGGGGGGGGCAAAATGGCATCACTGTGTTCTTGGTAGTTTGTACATTATGGACACACTGGACTAACCAGTGTCTACCTAGAATATGAATAATTTAGCATCTTGTGATATTAATTAAGCAATTGCAAAAGAATAATTCAGCCCAAAATGGGGTAAAAAGACTGGACATATGGTGACCTTATTTCCTATAGCTGGGGATTACCTGAAATACAGCATCTTGAGTCTGTGAATTAGAGCAATATACCTATCAAGGTGGGTTCCTCGACGCTTACTATACCTCTTAACAACAAATTGAATGTTCTAGTCAATGAAAGAATATAAAGGCAGTAATCCATAACCACCTACAACAGAAAAGGCAAATTAAAGTCACACCCTAATAAGCTATGGTACTATTAAAACCTGTTTTAGCAAACTATACCATATAAGTGTTAATGCCACTTGCAACTGTCTTCATGCTTGTGCCAAATATGAGGCAAACAGCCAATTATTATTATCACAGCAAACTAATGTTCTTTAAATTAACAACCATTTTCATATTCGCGCAGAATAAAAGTTTGACCTGAATCACTGGTCCTGAATGATCTTTAGCACCAGGCACTTGTGCAACTGCCACAATAAACTATTACTGTAATTTATCATTATTATTATAATTATATACACCAGCAGTGGGTAGTGACAAGTGCTTCACCACCATACAACAAACACTGCCTCCACTCTCCTAACTCTTGCCCTTCTTAAAGTATTGTACTCCATTTTAAGTTTTCATTTTTTCATGGAAGGTAGTCCTCACTTGGAGATGTATGATGAGAGATATAATGCCGAGTCCCTTAAGATGATCTTTTCACAGATCAACTGAGAACGAACAAGTGCTTCCAAACCCGTTAAAGTTGGAAGAGCTGCTTCATCATCCTGGTGGGAGGGGTATTTATTCAATATGTTATACTATCTATTGAATTAAATACAGTTTATACTATGTTACACCATGTAATGAAAGTGTCTCCCCAAAACTCCGATGTAATCTACCGAGAATAAGTTTTAATGAAAATCAACAGCATGTAACTACTGTATACATAATAATTGTGTGTAATTACCCAAGTGCAGTTAAACAATGAGGCCTACACTCGTGGTGACCCATCTTACCAGCACTCATTTATAAAAAAACAAGCATTGAATGTAATGAAACACCATTTTCTGGGCGAGTCCCGGAGGCTCCCTGAAGCTATTAACACTTTCGCGCTTTAGATTAGAGATAGCTCGTCACCGTTTTTTCTTACGATTCCGCATAACAGACTACTTTTGTAGTCCATCGAAAAAATATTTCTATAAATTCCATTTTCTAACCGAAATGGATGGGGATACTCTCAGATTTTTCTCCGTGAAATTCCCGTTCTCCCTCACCGAACACATGGCATCTCGGCCTACCCGGTCACGTGGTCGGCCCATTGTTTTGTTGACACGCCAAGTGCCCACACTGCGCTCCCCTCTCGCGGCAAACGTGACCCATTTTACGCATTTATTTCCGTTCCGTTTCCGTTCTCGTGTACCTAAAACCCATTCAATACCTTCAACATGGATGCTGCACCAGGAACAAGCAGTGGAATGCAAAACAAAGGTAGGAAATCAAGGAAAGCAGAAGAGATCGCCAGGATTTTCGATCTGTATCGTGGGGTCAATCTCACTCCATCCAAGATTCCCGACGTTGTTGAAGCCTTTTCAGGGTCTTCTGATGATGATTTGGAGGCTGATGAACCGGAAAATGATGTGCTTTATGAGGTTTCCACAAGTGATGATGATATTTCGAGTGAGAGTGAGGATGAGAGTGATGAAGAAGCCCCAGCCCCGCCACGCGGTAACCGCACGTGTCCGGTACCAAAGAGGGCTAGGCTGGGTGATGAGTGGAATCGTAGCAATACTCCTCCCATCGTTGATGACTTTACTGCAACCCCTGGCCTAACAATTCCACTACCTGCTACTCCATTGCAGTTATTACAATTATTTTTCACTAGAGCAGTGGTTGAATACTTAGCGTATGAAACCAATTTGCATGCCACACACGTCATACATCTCATGGCTGAGTCAGCAAGAAAAACGTGGAAACCAGTGTCGGTGAAAGAAATGGCCCGATATTTGGCCCTGTGCATACTGATGGGCATAGTGAAGATGCCTACAATGAGGATGTACTGGCAGACGAATCAGATGTGGCATTGTCGATTCTTCAACTTGTTTATGTCGTCTGCTCGGTTCCAACACATTTCTAAGTTCTTCCGCATGTATAACAAAAAAGGCGTTCCAGTGAATAGTAGTGACAGATTGATAAAAGTTAGACCACTAATGGACTATTTTTCAGAAAAATTTGAATCTGTATATATTCCCAAAAAAGAATTGAGTCTCGATGAGGGTACAATGGCATGGCGCGGCCGCCTCTCTTTCAAGGTCTACAATCCCAACAAGCTTGATAAATATGGTGTAAAATTTTATATGTTGGCCGAAGGGAAATCAGGCTACATATATAAATTTGATGTGTATTGTGGAATTGGAAAAACGACAGTGGAAACCGTGATGGGGTTGATTGCGCCCCTAGTCAACAAGGGTTATCATTTGTATATGGATAACTACTATAACTCGGTAAGCCTAACAGAACAATTACGTGAAGTGGGTGTTTACACAAGTGGCACACTTAGACTCCAACGTGGCGCCCCCAAGGATCTGCAACAAGTGGTAAAGGGTAAAATGGCAACCGACACGACCGTATACATGCGTAAGGATAAAACCTTTGTTATAGTTTGGAAGGACAAGCGACAAGTTTGGAAGGTCTCTGTCATCACCAATATCCACAATGCCGACACTACTCAAGCACAGCGCAGGAAACGCGTTCGTAAACGTGACGGGAGAACTGGAGTAGAAATTGTGAAAATGAACAAACCAAAGGCCATAGTGGATTACAATAAGTTCATGAAAGGTGTTGATCATTTTGATCAAATGGTCAAATATTATGAGTTTGCAAGAAAAACCCACAAATGGACCAAGAAGATCACTTTCTATTTTCTGCAAATGGCCATGCACAATGCATACACATTGTATAACCACTACTCAACAGATACAAAAAAACTAACACTATTAGAGTTTCACGCAGTAGGAATAAAAGCCTTATTGGCGTGGAACAGCGAGGAATGGCCAACAACAACAAGCATACCACATGTTCCCGACATAGATGCCAGCGCAGCTCCTCCTGCTGACGCGGCAGTTTCAACACCCGGCCCATCTGGTGTGAGGCGTCCTCTGTTCACCTCAACACCTCAAGCCCACTCATCAACCACAAATTCTGAAATGGACATTGAGGACATAGAACCACTTGATGTTTCTGATTTCATAGAAGATTCTACTACAAGTTTGGTGGTTCCTGTAGAAGACAATATTCCTCCATTGCATCCAAGAAATACAAGAATTATAGATTCAGAACAACGTCTCAACTACAAGTTGACGCATGAACTCGTGCACTTGGCTAAAAAAAGAAGATGCCGTGTTTGTTTCAAGTCTGGCAAAAGGAGGGACGTGATATATGGATGTAAAACTTGTGATGTGGCACTGTGCGCTGCGCCTTGCTACACAAGGTACCACCGAAGAAAGATATTTTGGGTGGAGAAAAAATAACCACCGGCAACAGCTTCACTCCACCTAAGAAACATCAGATGAGCAACTTCAGGATCAGAAGCCTGAAGATGGTGGAGTGAAGAAAAAATGCTCAACTGTTGATCTTCAATCAACATAGACAGGGTAAGTACACCTATTAGGAATTTTTTATCATCTATAAGAAGTTATATTATATACGTTTTGTAGAGAATTTATTTGTGAATTTTTTGGTACCAGAATGAATATTATATCACATAAACTTCTATGAGTAAAAAAAAAAAAACACAAAGTATGTTTGGGGGTGTGGCGGGCGTTTGGCAGTGGGTTCCCTTTAGCCGTTGATATATCCAACACGTGGGAAATATTTGTATGTGTTATGTATATGTCTGTGTAGGGAATTTTACTGCGATCACTGTCATACAAATTATAAAATGTTTCAACAAGTATAAACATGACAAACATCAAACGAACGAAAACAATGCGTTCGTTTCTGCCGCGAACGCATACTGAGCGACGTGGTTCTATATTTAGCGCTTCTCTTACACATGCTTTGTACAATTGTTATACATTTCATCTTATAGAAAATTTTATTGCGAACACATTGGTATAAAAAAGAAATACGTACATAGAAAAGTAGGGTCAGGAAACGTATAAATGTATAAACTTTCCAAGCATGATTTCCCCCCTGTGTTTTCGCCAGTGCGCTCGCGGCTAACTACTCTCCACTTCACACACTCTTGCGGGTGGGCAATTACCTATATTAAACATTCATATGCATATGTCCGTGTAGAAAATTTTATTGCGATTCCAATGATACCAAAATTAGCAATGTAGGACAACTGTAGGCTTCGCAACCATTAAGAGAGTGGAAACATTTTGTTGCTGTTTGGCGCTCTCGGCGAGTGATCTGCATAGTTTTTTATTTGGTATTGATACTCCTTATGCTTGGGCGGCATTTTATAGGTATGCTCTTATAGACAATTTCATTGCGAACACAGTGATACCAAATTTAAATACGTGCGCCTTCAATTATTGTCAGGACAGTCAAAAGAGTGTACACTTTTTCGGTCTTACCGCGTAGGCGCGCGAAGTGCCGAAAGCATCTGGGGTATTGTTTTTTTTTGAGCGCCGAGAGCGCGAAAGTGTTAAATTGACATGTGCCATATTAGTTTGGTGCCATTAGTCCTTGGGGTTCAAGTGTCTACCAGGGGCCACGAGCCAAAACCTGGCCCCCTCAGAGAGGTGCAGGATGCAATGGTCATTTGAGCAATGGCCATCGACTGGGGATGGCACCCAGAAAGGTAGGTGAACCATTACAAACCTTTAACTGGAGAAAATTGCAACCTATGTTCGAACAGAAGCCCAGAACTCCCCTCCCCCCACCTCCAAATAGAAAATAATGGAACGAGCAACACGTCATCCAACTAGCATGTTAGTGCCTCACCCTCCCCCAAAAGGGGGGGAGGGGATACCCCACTCAGGCGAGGAGGCCACACCACCCTCAGTTCAGAGAATGATGAAAACCGTCGACAGGAGGGAGAGAGGGTGTCACGGAGCCTCCAAGGCTCGCCCAGAAAATGGCATTTCATTACATTCAACGCTGATTTTCTGAGGGGAAGCCCTGTTAGCTCTGAAGTTATTTACCCTTTGTTTGTATACAGTGTCTGCAGTGCTGCTGCCTCCCTAGCCCAGGAGGCAGCAGCACTGCAGGTCTCATGACGAAGACAATACAAGTGGCCGTGACAGATGACCCACGGCAACATAAGGCCGCGGAGGGCCTGGGACGTTAACAAGATATCTGGCAGCCAGGACCCTATTTAATTTCCAAAACCCCTGCACCTGAATGTCGATCCAAGACTTATTACCAAAGACGGCAGCAAGAGATGCATACATCATCATGGGCACGAGGGTAGACCACACTTTGGCTAGACTCGATAACTCTGTGGACAACCAGAGAGACATGAGCCCTGCAACAGGGAACCATGGAAACTAGGTCCACTCAGAGCACGTCTACTGTTGCTGATCCAGTAGCTCGCAGGTAGCAACGTAAAGCAGCAGCCAGGCACAACACATGATGCACCCCTGGCCTAACCAACCAAGCGTCAACAACCCAAGGACCCCTCCGGAAACCAGCCGTCTCATTCATCGCCAGAAAAGGAGGAAAAGTCTGCAAACGAACAAAATGACCCCCCCAGGGCCAAAAGAGCAAAAACCCACTGAGCCAGAGAAGAACATGAAGCTTCCCCACCTGACCCCCAACGGCTAAAGTCAACAAAAAC